CGTGAGCACTGCATAAAAGAAAAAAAGAAGAGAAAGTTAGATCTAATTACCACAATAAGGTCTTAAAAACCCTTGTTCTTTGCAGCACTAAGATTTAAAGGTCTGAGTTGTCTCAACAATTGCATCCGCATGCCACAAGCCTTCGCCTTAAGGAATTTTCTCTCCCATGGTGACGTGGAGCATTTTGACAATGCCAATATCCTCAAGAATTAATTTCCCTGTCACTCCCTTGCAGTTGGCCAAGGTATAACGGAACGTATTTCAACTTGAGCATGTTGCAGATTTTTTTGCTTTCTTCTGAGCTTTCTGCCACTGCAGGTTGTTTTAGCCTCATCACAGAAGTCCTTGCCTTTTGCAGCCAACTTGAAAATGTATACATTCTGAAAGGGGACTTAATATTTAAGAATCTTTAAATCTTAACAGAGGACAAAGGCAAACCACAAGCTTTGCATAGTTCTGCTGCTGCTCTCTGATATTCATGTTCTTTGCTTCACATTTTTAAAAATAAAATGTATGCTCTCTTCTTTCCCTTTTCCTTCAGTCTGTTTTCAGGCTCAGGAAGAGCTGACACAATTATAGTTGTCATCGCTTGCTGTTCAAAGCCCTTCTGAACAAGCTGACGTGCCACCTCACACAGCTGTCACTGCTCTCCTCCCTCTGCACAGGGCCAGATTCAACCTGGCCAAGCCGAGTCCTTTCCTGGCCCCTCTTCCCCCACGCTGACTTGGCTCTGCAGATAAGGTGACACTTTTTGCCTGTTCATCACTTTCGTGATCTTCTTTAAGTCAAGTAAGCTACAAGCCTAGGGGTTTCATTTGGATTTATCCCCGTACCAGCAAAGGAATTGGCTGTACGATGTCCTTCCGGCCAAAAGAGCCATTTATCGCCTTCAGTCTTTACCAGTTTCTCCCAAACCGTTTCAATGCAGAAGAACTAACAACAGCCGACTTCCCTTACTTAACCAAAGGTTTCCTCTCTGCTTCCCTTGAATATTTTGCATTTCCCCATACAGATCTAGTGCTAGCTACAAAGCTGCAGCACTCTCAGATGATAACCACTCTGTGGCTTTGCTGGGTTTGAGTGTCACTTGTGGCAGAGGGCAGGTGACAGAGGACAAGAAAGGTAAACGAGGGGCTGCTACAGCCAGTTCAATAAAACCAATGAAACAGCCTAACTCCTGTAGTGAAGTACAAACCCCACAAACACCCAGCTGCAAATCAGACTCGCAATACGCTTCAGCTTCCTTCGGCTGAGCCAGCGCGTTCACCTCGGTGTGCGTAAGGAAAGCAGTGTGCCCTAACTATGCATGCAGCCCTTCCTGTCCTGGTGTCACCCAGTACTCATCTCCAGCCTCGGCACAGGTCCCTGGAGCGGTGGCACAGCATGAAAACAGTCACAGATTTGCCAGTATGTCCCACGTTACCCGAGCAGCTGTGCCATTCAGATGATTTAATGAACAGAAGACATACAAGTATTACTGTATTTTTTATTATTATTATTATTATAATAATAATATGTGACATGCAAGTCACATGCAGACATTTCCATATAGGAAAAAAGAAATGCAAGATCTCCTTCTTCCCATACATAACATCTTGACTATTAATTACCGGATGGCTTTGCAATTCAAAGTGCACATTTCAAGCACCCTACTTGCTTTCCTGTTCACTTACATAAAATATTTGGCCTCTTCCCAGTTCCCTCTACTCTGCCCTGCTGAGGCCGCATCTGGAGTATTGTGTCCAGTTCTGGGCTCCCCAGTTCAAGAAAGACAGGGAACTGCTGGAGAAGGTCCAGCAAAGGGCTACAAAGATGATTAGGGGACTGGAGCATCTCTCTTATGAGGAAAGGCTGAGGGACTTGGGTCTCTTTAGTCTAGAGAAAAGAGGACTGAGGGGGGAATCTTATTAATGCTTCTCAATTCTTAAAGGGAGGATGCCAGAGGGATGGGAACAGTCTTTTTTCAGTGGTGCTCAGTGATAGAACAAGAGGTAACGGGCACAAACTTGAATATAGGAAGTTCTATCTAAGAATGAGGAGGAAGTTCTTCACTTTGAGGGCGGCAGAGCACTGGCACAGGCTGCCCCGAGAGGTGGTGGAGGCTCCCACTCTGGAGACATTCAAAACCCACCTGGACGCCGTCCTGTGCAACCTGCTGTAGGTGCCCCTGCTCTGGCAGGGGGGGGTGGGCTAGATGATCTCCAGAGGGCCCTTCCAACCCCGACCATTCTGTGATTCTGTGAAACTATTTTTTAAGACCTGGCCTCCCGTGGGAGATGAATTAGCAAGCAAGATGCTAGTGTGGCAGTCTAACCCACATTATAAGATACAATTCATGCGCTGGCTACCATTCCTACATATGTGGGAGTAAGTTAGTATTGTATCAACTTTCTGTAATATTTATATGCAATCCATACTGAGCGGGGGTGTCTTTCATATCACACCTTTCTTCTCTGTTTTTATGTTAGGAAAGTGGTTGTGGAGAGGGAGATAGGATTGTTTGGATTCTGTTGGTTTTTTTTTTTAAACTTCCCCAGGATGCAGGTATATCTACCCATCAGATGGCAGAAAATCTCAGGAAACAGCTCGTCCTTCTATTTCCAACAGGATTAATATCATGCAAAAATGGAAACTCCTGGTTCACACAGACCTAATGAAAGGCTAGATACTGTATGTGAGTAAGACTTCATGCTGTTAACTCCATCTGAGGTGTTCAAGGCCAACAGTCACTATCTGCAAACCACTCGCATCGTAACTGAAAACACACCAGCTTCTTTACACAAAAAGTAGTAAAAAGAAGAAAAAAAAAAAAGCTGAAAAAATATTTAAGTAAAATGCCAACAATTTTCATAACCCCCAATACATTCTGTAGTTGTCTAATTTTCAGTTGACTGTGTGCTTTACTTACACCAATTCAGTTTTAAGTCCATTAACCCTGCTAATTCATGACGCATATCTGCGTAACAGTTACTTTGTGGTATCTAGAAAAGCACTACTCAGACAACATAGATTCTGTTAGAAAGCCAGTAATAAGGTGATTTTCAAACTACTGACACATAACAAAGACATATGTATACAGCTATATGCCAGCTGAGTGGATGACTACAACATGAAGCTCTGACATGCTGATTTTATTATATTTCCCTTCTAAATATGTCTTCCTTGTATACGGCATATAACTTTATTCTTAGCCCAGTGATATTTTAATGCTCTTTTATTAGCCTGTTCTCAATAAGATGGAGACTTTAAATCCGAGTTTTTTCAGATACACTAAATTTCTTTTAATTCCACAATAGGTAGCTTTCGTTGCTGTTTCATTTTGAAGCGTAATTCAAATGTATTGCTAAATTGCTTGATTTACTCTGAACCAACTTTTTTTACATCAAGGAAGTTCACATCCAAAACAGAGAGCGGAGGGGAGAGAGTTACACAGTTGGTTTACGATTCAAGCCTGCCCAGGGACAGAGCAGGAGGTGCCGGAGCGTGTTAGCAAACTCAGGGAAAGGCACAGCCCTGTAAGGATTTCACAGCCCAGAAGAGCAATCAGGCAGGCGGGGCGCACCCTGCGGGGTTTTCCAAACTTCTTGGGTGGCAAAAGTCGCTCCGCTGTTGGATTTATGCTCCACGGAGCAGGCGAGGCAAGCCGTGCCCAGAAGAGCCCTCTTGGCATGCCCGCCTGCGCAGGCAGCTGCCTCGGAAGGGCTGCTTTGCTCAGTAAATCATCTGGACAACGGGAACTCATGTTCAGTTAATTATTTTCTCCTCACGTCTGCTCCATTTCACTGATACGTACAGTCAATTATCTCCACAGCTAGATTGTCTTTATTAAATTATGCAGCTGCTGCAGAGCACGCTGAGAAATGGTGACTTTCGACAGAAATTAAAGGTTCTCCGACGACGACAGAAAGCAGCAGGAGAGTGTCCCAGTGCTGGGAACTTTTACTTTCAGAGAGCCAGCCACAAAACCTGCATTAAAGTACACAGCTGTTTTAAGCGCTATACACTTCGGAACTGGCTTCTTATGACCCTTGTGCTTTTCCTTTTGGGAAGTCTGACCTCTAGCACTTCCTAGTGTTGTCTAACTAGTTTACCAAAGTCTTTTGCTCACTTTCAGAGGTGCCCCATCAGCTCTGGATAATGTCATGCTTCACACGTAAGGTAAACTCTTACTGTATGGCCTCTTCTCCCATTTCATTTCAACCTCAAGTATGGGAAGGTGGCATTTTCCACCATTTTCCACATTAAATCTCCCCTACCCCCCTAACTAGTACTTTAGGTTTAAAAGATATGCCCGGTAGTGAGAATGATCTCATGCAATACCTGCACCCTGTTTGGTCTGCACTGGGCATCTTGTGACAACAGGCAAATAACTGAGTTGGGTATTAAACCTCCCCTCCTGCTTTTTTCATTCAAGGCACTACTGAGCAAAATGTATTAGTGTCCAGGTATTAAAAGAGCAAAGTAAAAACGTCAGTCAGAGAAAACTGACTTATTGGCATAGTATTTTCCCAGATTGGGTTTTTATTTATGAAGCCAATGAATTAATTCCTGACCATACTTAATGGCCTAAATCATAAGCTATACTTGCAGACTGGAACTAAGGCCAATCATTGCTGAGTTTTATTACAATCCATTTGCTTCATTCAAGAAGCAAAGCTTTTTTTTTTCTCCATTTTTGTCTTTTTTTTTTTTTTTTTTTTTTTTAAGCCAAGCACAACAGTAAGAAAGCCTCAATAGATGCAAAAAAGTTTTTACCATTTTGCCATTCCAGGAAGATAGAGGATGTTTAAATGGCTTTGACATTTCGGATGGGAAATTTCTGAAGTCATGCCAAATATATTATTCCAACCTGTGACCTAGGAAATTCCTTTTTCATAGGTATTTATATAGTCTAAACACTGTTCACTCTCCACAACTGTTGCACACTGCAACACGCAATACTGCAGACTCGCATGGGATCTATTTTAAGACTACTTTATTTGACACACATTCCCCGAAGAGAAGAATTGTGTCTGCATACAAAATGAAAATAATGAGTTTAAAAATAAAGAGGTGTGCTCTTACTTACTGGGATGTCCTGTCACAGAGAGGACACGCTTTCAACATTTTCTCAGCACCTTCACACTTTCACGAACTCAGACCCAATTATACTTCCTTTAAATGTGCTCCATTATATTTGACACTACCATCTTACTACACAGAAAACTAACCCCAAGAAAAGCAACTGCCTTGTTTTCATCAGGATTCCTGCTGTTTTTCACTTGTGCCGGGATCACCCTGTGCGACGGCTGCACACTGACACCTACTGCTTGGCGCAGAGAGAACCCTGAAGGGAATTCATACACACCACCCAATTAAGCTCGATGAATTCGGGCAGCTGTGTCTGTGCAGGTTCCTCTACAGAGAAGGGAAATGCTCCTCTGGGGGCCTCAGACCCACACGTTAGCTGGACACCGCGAGCAGGGGCACCCAGCAGCCTGGTGTCTATTTTCTTTCAATGCTGATGTGACGCAGGACGTTCACATGCATCACACAACATAATCACAACTAGTAAATGGGCCCAGCACTCCTGTGGGCCCCAGGAGCTCTTACACCATGTCCCACACTGAGGAGGAAGTGCCCAGTGGGAAGGGGGCCAAGCAAACTTCTGAGCAGGCGAGAAATGTACAACAAGATTTTTTCAGGTTCTTCAGAAAATTGACCTGAGAACAAATACAGTAAAACACCTTAGCAAGTATCCTATAGGCTAAGAATACTTGACTTGCATTATATAAAAAGAGTTGTCTCAGATCACAACTGTTAAAAGGAGAAACAGTCAGCTGTACTGAATACTGCCAACAGGATATTAGTTCTTCAAAAGAAGAGAAGTACTAAAACAGGCGAAACTGTCCAATGCCTTGCGCTGCACGCACGGGGGAACTAATGCAATTTTTGGCATTGCTTGTGATGTCAGTTCTCATCCCAATCTCAGTTTAATGCTCAGCAAGTTAACAAGGAAGCTCCGCACTACAAAGCTTTTGCTTTTTTCCCCTGTAATATCACCCTGGTTTATCTCAGAATGTAATCATCAGGAAACTCCTCTGAAACCATCTACGTGACTAATGTCAAATCTAAAGCATATATGCCAGCACGAAGTATGTCTGCAGATTCCGTGTCTTCTAAAAACTCATTGCACACGTTGAGTAGAAGTATGCTTACAGGGAATTGCCGTTGCCAGATGCTGCTTCATTACCTGAAACTGCACACTGTTTCTCAGTACTGATTACTCAGTACAGCTGGCATGCACAGTCTTATTACAGAATTATACAAGGACCAGTGCTACAAATTTTTAAGCAAATCTCAACTCCTTTTACCACAAGGTTTCGTTACAAAAGGTTTTGGAACATAAATGCCCTTCAGGCACGACTCCCTAGAACAATCAATCACCCAGCAAGGTTTTCCTCTTCTTTTAACAGCGCAGAAATCTCCTTGGCTGGTATTGAGCACAGCTGAGTCAACAAATTGTCTTACCAAGGAGTACATAGAGGGAGTGGATAACCCTGGTTAGCAGCAGGTGAATGGATTCAAACCCCAGATCTCACAAACTGGTCAAGCACACCTCATCCTTGCAATGCCCAACAAAAGAGGGCTCCAGCTACAACTAATTTTCTGTCCAAATTTATTCATAGCCTGTTTGTACACATTTTCCCTTGCATCAGGTATTGTTACTTAACATAAACAATCTTTCCCCTCTGGCTAAAACCCAGAGGGAATATGTGTTCTCTGGTTCATTTCTTATGGTAAATAAAACTTCCCTGCTCTTTTCTTCATCTTGTAGCAGGGTCTGCCCACTTCTTTAATCATCTTCACAAATCTAATGCCATTTGAACATGAGTTACTGAAACTGTATGAGGCCTCATCTGACACTTGTACAAAGACAACCATCAGTATACTGAAAATACTTCACTTTATATGTCCACCCTCAAGTGGATATACTTCAACTTGAATATTTTCATCCCACGCCTCCCTTCCATCCCTCCACAAACAAGTATGTCCATGTCCTTTTCTTCCCTGGTGTTTTCATATGCAAGAAACTCCCCTTTCATGTCATGGATTTTCATTATTAGTCCTGAGATGTATGACTTTATTACCTATGTTATTATTTTTCCTCCCGTATCTTATATTTCATGTTTATCTTTATATATATCTGTATCTACCTCAATCATCCTATATCATATCTCAATGTCATGTATTTTCCTGCAGAGGACACCCCCCTCCCATTCACCCCTCCTAAATTTCTGCTAGAAGCCAAATTCACGAGCATGATTCTATTTTATCATGCCAGTGACTATGAAAGAAAAAAAGCCCATGACACTTAAGGAGCTTCACTAGCAATCTCCTTCCTCTCCTACCAGCAATACCTATAGGTCTCAATCCCCTCCCTACCCATCTTTAAGCTCGAGTACTAATGCCCATTATCTCCATACAGATGGCATGATATAAAGCATTTTGCTGACATCGGATGGATTAGGTATACTCCTTTTCTTCCTCTCTCTGGGAAGTCTTATAAAAAATAATTTGGTTGTACCGGTATCACCTCTCTTGACAAACCTATGTCACACTTTGTCTCATTTACTACTTACCCTCGTACTATTAATGACTGTGTATTCCCTTACAGAGCAGCAGTGGTAATTAATTCTGTACTTGGTCATGACTGGCCCTATGTCTAAAGAAAAAACAAACAAACAAACAAATCCAGAATCCAAAATCAGTGCCATTTTAGGAAATAGTGTACTGGTGGCATTCTGACAGTTTGACTTGAAGTTAAGACCTTGAGCATTTGCCTTATTGTTAAAAATAACATCCAGGGAAACATCTCCATTGCTAGCTGGCATGGTACAGCACTGAAGAATCAAGTCTCTGGTTTGATCCAACCAAAACTGGTTTATGGAGGCACACAATGCTCCTTCAGTCTGTCAAAAGCCAAGTATTATGTAGCGTTTGGAAGCTAAAGAGCTTGTTTCCATTTAATTAACTTGTTGCACAATTATCCATATGGAACTGCTGTATAAATGCAGCAGCGACTGCTCTGTATATACACATTCATGATTCACTTGAAGGATTACCCCAACAGTCTTTCAAACTATGCAAGTGTGGCTGGTAGCAATACAAATAAATTTGACCATCAGACGGCTAACGCCTTCCTTTTCCACGGTGTGAAACACAATTCCTACATATGTCACACACAGTTCTGGGGCAACAATTAGAACATTCAAAGTTGCACAGAAAAAACTGGCCACCCACTCAAGTTCTCAGTTGTTGAAGCACCATGAATTGCCCAGCCAGCACCAGCTCTCCTGCCAAATTAACTGCACTTGGCAACTGACCTCAGGAGCACACATTTTTGATGTGTGATAAATAGCAGCAAGACTTACAAGCTGTTAGCTTTATTTACAAGCAATTGTGTCTCAGCAGTGTTACAAAAGACACAACCTTGGCACGAAGCCTTATGTTGCAAGGTGTGCTGCTCCCTCTCTGCCCCTACTAGCCATTTCTTAACTTCCCAACTATGTGTTTATTCCGGACTGTTCCCTTCCTATTTGCAAGACACATTCCCATGGAAAGCAATCCCTTCATTCCAATGGACATACTCATGCTTTGTTCCTATCAAAATATGCCCACATCTCTGTTTAAAATTTCCAAACTTGCATCCTCCCTCTCAGAAATGTCCTGCTTTGACACCAGTTTCCTCAGGTCCGCTCCTCGTTCCCCATCTCCTCAGCAATCCTGACAAGGTCAGCTGAAGAGAATCTCCTTCCTGGATCATCTTTCCACAACCCGTGAAAGGGCTTGGAAGGACAGTTTAAAGCAGCAAGACAAACGGAAATGTAATGAAAGCCTACGATCATTTGAAGGTCACATCTAGCCAGAAAGGAAAAGAAAGAGGGGGGGCTATTTTCAATGGAAAGACCGAACAAGGATTCAAACTGGGGAAAACTTGTAACTGGGGAGTGTATGCAGCTACAAAATAATCTGCCAAAGGAAAAAGCAGAACCTCCCCAGACAGCTTGGAGCTTTTGGAGCACAGACTAGGCAACATCTGCACAAATACACTGCAGGGAACGATGGTGAATCTACAGGAAAGCAGACAAGACCATGCAACCAGGCTAGTCCACGAACTATTCCATGAATAGTTCACTGACCCACGTTTCTGCACAGTTTTAATGCAAGTCTCCACATTAAGAGTATGCATGAAACGTACACTTTCTGTAGTTTGTTAGAAAAATTCTCTGTGAAAAAAAACAAGCTACAAATAGGAATACATGCGAAAGAATTAACAAATTGAAGAGATCACTGTAAGGATTCCAAATATCACTGGTCTCACAAAAAGCACCACAGGGATTTCTTTTTATTTGTTTAAACTCCACGGAGATCAAAGAACCCAATTATAATATCTGGCCCTTCCTCCTCTGCGGCCCTTCACTGTTAATTGCCCTGGCTCCTGTTCTTCCACTAAGTATAAACGAAAGCACTGGAATTGAGCCTGCTACTGAAGCAAGTGCAGCAAACTTTCCCTGATGTCAACAGAATTAGGCCACTTTTACAAGCAGTGACTTTGCCCTCCAGTTGGCAAAACAAGAAAAAAGCAGTTTGTTCAAATGCGGCGTGAGGGCCATTCCCTGCAGACAGGCACGCTGGGGACCCAGGCTCTCTCCTGCTTTTCCGAGGAGCAGTCGCCGCATGGGCCGCTGACTCACCATCTGGTTCCTGGTTTCTTTCTGAGCTGCACACACTGCCAGTTCCTCAAAGCTTGTGGCAGAAATCTCTCCTGTGCCCACTGATTATAAGCTATTCATGATGGGTATCTAAGCTACATAATGAACCGAAGAAAAGAGGAAACAAATGTCCATCTTCTAATTAAGAATTTACAAGACTGGCATTAAACCCTGAGCTTAAATACAAAAAAAATTCAACAGAGTTTATATCTCTGAAGACTCATTCATCCCACTAGCTGAGCAATAATTACAAACTTAACATTAATCTTCAGTTTGATTACAGTCTGTTCAACATCTCCGGCATCACTTCCCGCATTTAGTTTCAATAACAAGTCAATCCCACACAGAAAAATAAATTAAAACAATTGAGTAAATACCTCACATAGAAGGGTGACATAGGCCGCTCATCTTCTTGGGAGCTAAAAACAAAACATATTTTTTAAAGTTAGTATGCAGCTCTGTCTTGTATTTGCAGTTCATTTACAGCAAGATACTCAAGAAGTAGAGACAACAAAAGTGAAACAGTACACCTGTTACAGATGTAATGCTTATGGCCTGTTTTGTCCTCTGGTTGTACTCATGGAAGAGCTCTAAGTTACATTCCTTAAATCCTGAGAATCCAACTCATTTCTCAGTGTCCACACATGTGGTGTAACAGATCTCCTGCTAGATGGCCAGGAGTCACGCCGGGTCTGCAGTGGTGCCAGGACTATTCCCATAGCAACAATAAAGTATTTTGCCAGCAAAACCACCAGAGCCTTTTGGCATCTGCTGTTCCAGAATTAAACCACCTGCCTGTTAAAGCTAAAGTTGAGAAAAAAAAAAAAAAAGACGTCTTGAGAGACCAAAGAAACGGCCACGGGTATATGCATGAGGATAGGAATTCCCCGGTTTTATCGCTCCTGCAGAAAGCCGATTTGACTATGCTGAAATCTCCCTAGGCTTGAGATCAAGGGCTGCCATCGGCTACCGTGGAGTTCCCCTGGCATAATGGTGTTTCAGTGGTCAACTGACCTCGTCCAAACATAACTACCTGGTGTGTGGCCGATCAGTTCCCCGATCCAGCTCATCGTGCCTGTGCTGGCACGAGGGTAAGAATGAGCTGTTGGGGAGCTGAAGCTTAAAGGTGTGGTGAACTGATGGTTTAAGTCAAGTTAAGACCGTGCCACTGTAAGAAGGGGTTCAAACAAGTTTCACGTAGTCATTCCAATCAGATAAATGGTCAGCCTTGAAGGGCATTTAAGCCTTGTAACTCTCCAGAGAAGGACACTCATCTTCCTCCAAGCATGCAGGAAACACCACTGAGGTTGATTTGTCCCCAAGGGACTTTTAATTGGGTCTGCTGAAGAGCACAGCAAGCTCGGCAGAAAAGATGGGAAGCTGCATAAATTACTTTAAACAAAAGGAGAAAGGATAACGATCTCACAGGCGCTGGAAAGCAAGCACTTTCCTGCTGCTTTCCTGCTCTTCTAGCAGCCTGGGACTGTGCCAGCACTCAGCAACTTGCCACAGGTACTCAGCCACAGGTCCCAGGGCACAGCCACACTGTGAAGGCATCCATCGCTTTTGAGCTTCTTCAGAAGATGAGAGTATATGGGAGAACTCTCTGGGTAAGGTGAGCTCAGCTTCAACCTCAAGTCACTTGGGGGCTTTGATCGCCCTGACCCCCCAACCAACTTTCAACAGGGACCTGAAGTAGAACAAGCCAGAACAACTTTTGAAAACCAAGCCCAAGTTCACTCATCTATTCAGTTTTGAAGGATTTTATTTATCGGTTTATAGAAGCGTCTCTAAGCTCAAAATAAAGGGGGAGGGAACATCTCAGTGGGTTTTGTAGCTAGGAGAACAAATACTCACAGGTACCTTTTGCAGCTTCCATTGAAGCCAGCAGGAAGCTCCCTCAGCAAGATGAGCTGAAACTGGCCCGCAGCCAGGTAAGCACCCTGCTCACACTGAATATAGCCAGAGGCAGATTTCGCTGTGGCTCATTTCAAACCCAGCCAATGTCATAACAGATCCACAAATACGAACACCAAATTCATCTAGGGGGCAGGAGCATGAGGGAGGAGGCAGGATGCAAGGGAGTCAGAAAGGCCAGGAAAGCGGACAAACAGACAGATGAGCAAGCTGATGTGTCAGAAAAAAATCACAGCGGTTCAATTCTGCATCATTTCGACCCCCCTACAGTACACAGAGATTTATAAAGAGACAACTACAGACATCTACAGAAAAGACCTTCCAGCACGTCATTCGGGAAGCCCAAAATCCTGATTGAAGGTTAACACAAAATACCACGGACTGGAAGGAAGAGAAGCTGCTTCTGAAATCAGCGCTGTCTGCCAAAACTCACATCGCCCCTGTAATGCAACAGTGACCGGGCAGTTTTCGGTGGCTCCCCAAGAAGACTGGGAGGACGGCTGCTACGGGAAACTTTGCTGCCACTTCCACAAGCCTGACTTCAGCTGCTGGAGCAAGCTGCAGTCGGCTGCTGCTGCGGGAGCACTAAACGCCGCTGTCACCCTCCTCCCAGACCCGGCCCGCGCAAGGAGCAGTGCAAAGCAGGCTGACAGCACCTGCCTGCATCCAGGTAGGTAACGCAGCTGCCTTCGTGTGGACTGAGGTAAACATCACCTGAAGGGTCTTTGGGAGAAACTGCTACGGCTTTGAGACAGCCTAGAAAGAAGTGGAGGGAAAAATGGAAGTGCCCGTTGTTGTGCTTCCCAGAAGATGACCTGCAACAAAGGCACGGGTAAGAACCTCTGCCAGGTGCAGGCTCCCTCCCCTGATGTCATGCAGTCTCTCAGCTTGCATGCATGGTATCTCTTTATTTAGCATTTACAGAATATAATTAGTTTTTTTAAAAAGTGGAAAGAAGCTACTTTAAACTCACAAAGCTGTTAGTAAAGTTTTTGCTACATTGAGTTCATTACGTTAACAGCTGTACTTGGAATCTCAATGCACACAAGTCCCAATGGAGCACACAAAACATAAAAAATGTTTTCTCATGTAAAGTTCACAGTGGCATCAACATTTCTGTGCATCAATGCAACTTCAAATGACAACACCAAATGCTGCTTTGTGTACAAGTGGCAGTTGCCAAAGCCACACCAAACATGCTTTCTTTTCCATCATAAAAACCCTTCCTCATCTCAGGTTATGTAATTAACTTCCAAGTCAGAGAAGCACAATGATACTGAAAAAGCCCAAATAACTTATATTCATACTCCCATGAGTTGCTTTGACAGATCATATGGGAAAGTAGTATTCAGCAGGGACTCTGAAATCTCTTGCATTTCCTTCCTTTTCTTCCACAGCAAGTACAACCACTGCTCCACAAGTTCAAGCAAGTTTTATATCTGTACAAGAAAATCCATTATCCACTCATACAGAGTAACTCAGGAGAAACGAAAACTTTAAAAACATTAGCTGGGAATGGGGGAGAAAGAAATCAGAAACCAAATACCAGTTTCATTTAGATCATCACATTTCAAAATTTCACACAGTCAATAATTGTAGCTGTGCATAACCTCTCATATCCAATAGTGCTTTGTAGTTTTACACATGCAGCACTGATCAGTAGCCACGTCTGGGATGAAGAGCTCCAAGCTAACTAGTACAAAATCCAGACTTTTGAGAAAACCATAAAAATCTTTTAACTTTAAAAAGATCTCCTGCACCTGAGTAAAGCACATTATCCATTTTCCCCTAATCATTAAAAACAACGTATCCCAAACATCTTTACCTAACTTCATGCAGCGTAGTCAACTCATCTGTGCAAGCTGAAGGACGTGAGCTGTATAAGTTACGAACAGATTTAAACCAGCTATTTCACATAATTCACAATCCTTTAAATTGATGTGGGACCACCAAGCCCTGCTGCAATCACTTAGTGCACAAGGATTCCATTTTGATTAAAATGCTTTAGGAAAGAATGAATTCTTCGTGTTGTAAGGTAATAAACTGATGTGCTCCTATTATACACACAAGCACAGATTAGTTTAAGGGAAGAAATGAAAACTGTGTGTGAGAAGTTTTAAACCTGCGTATACCTAATCACATGGTTTCGGATATAACAGAGACAGGCAAGCAAGAACAATGTACACGATATGAATCATAAATGATCATCAGTTGCTATTACACAATAAACCGACTAGAAATTGGTTTAAAACCTTCCACACAGGATTCTTTGTCACTATCGCTCACACTATTCTGATTAAACAACTGCTTACTTATTTTTAAACCACCTTGTATCGAAGGGTTTATTAGCATTGCTAGGAAGCCCTTTCTATCATGTATCGTTTCAAAAGAAAATGCTAGAAAAGCCATTAAGGTATGTTTAACATTTAACTGTACTGTACTCGGACTGCATAATTCCTCTTTGGTTAAAGGAGCATAGGACCCTTCCAGAAAGAAAGGAAAGCCTAATAGGTGGCACAGTGACCTAGCAAACTAAGTCAGCCATCCACAGCATGGAGGGGACAAGTCATTCCGATGTGCATCTCTTATATAGTTTAAATTCCTACCTTGCCCAGCAAAGAATATCCATTAGGTGAGCAGGTTTTGTAGTAAATTAGGTGGTTGGGGATTTTTTGTTGGGGTTTTTTTGTTGGTTGGTTTGTTTTTTTTATACCATCACAGGTTTGTCCAGCTTTATACATGCTTTATGGCCAGAAAGCACTGAAACGATGAAATAACTTAAAAAAAATAAATTGGTTATGTATTCAACTATCACCAATTACCTGGCCAAGCAGGTGAGTACAAAATAGAGCAGTCCCTTTCTTCTCAGACATATACATAGTTCCCCTAAGAGAAGGAATTAAACAGAAATGAATGGCTCTTTCATGCAATACTTGGGAGAGCGATTTCTCACACTCCTAAAGAACACCTAAGCATCTGATCACTTCCTTCTCGCTAAAAACCAAAACAAATATCAGCCAAACTGAAAAAAACTTGTTCTCTTTATTTTATGACTAAAGAAGTAACATTGTTATGTTTGTGACCTCCACTGAGCTAATGACAAAGTCTGTCAGGCTGGAAGGAACACCAGTATTGCCCACCAGTTAGTTTAGCACACCTTCGGATTTTCAGGCACATGTATTTTACAGCATTTATGCAATGCATCCTTTCTGTCTCTAAAGAAGGAAACAGGAAAGCCTGGGTGAAGCCTAACTGTTCAATGATGTATTTCCATTACAGAACCATAGTTGCCTTTTTTTCCCTCCCCCTCTTGCAACAGGAATGTTACAGGCAACTGTTCAGCCATCACATTCTCAAATATGCAGTAATGGTTTCCCTTTTTTTTTTTGTATGTCTCATCTTGCCCTTCAGAAAAAATAAAGGAGCTGCTGAGCTAGTTCCAGAGCTGAAGCTGTAAAACATCCATTTAGATGGAGAGTTCCCAATTTATTTACATGCATAT